TTAATATTTTAATTTATTTATTTTTCATTTCAATGAACATCTACAGATTTTGGAATTCCATTCATTCATTGTTGCACCCTTCTCTATTTCATTATTTTTTGTGTGTACCGTCAAATCAGATCTGACTAATACAGGGGGAGATTGTTCCTCCTTCTCCAGCAGAGCATCTGGTGGATTCAAACCGTGTACCTCTGAGATTGCAGTGCAGCTTCTTGGCACTAGGCCACCAGAGCTCGCCTGTTTTTATTTTTATAGTGAATTGACTTTTTAGGGCAACTCTTGTGTGTCAAGGAAGCCTTTTAGTACCATTTTTTCCAGCAGCATGTACTTACTCAATGTCTTTGTATCACATTTTAGTAATGTCAAAGTTTACTCATACTTTTGTATGTACCTTCTTGGTTGATCCAAAGGATAAAGCCCATAAATGGTTGAGTTAAAAGAAATAATTAAAGGAACAAAAAGGAAAGGGAAGGGGATGGAGTTATTTTTATTTTCCTAACCAAAGGAACTCTGGTGACCTAGTGGGAAGAAGCTGCACTGCAATCCTGAGGGCATGAAGTTTGAGGCCACCAGCTGTTCCATGGGAGAATGATGGGCTGTCTCCTCTCATGCAGTTAACTGCCTCTGAAAACCTACTGGAAGGTCAGCTATGGGTTGTTTCCACCTGCACAGTACACAACAGCAACAACAAAAACCAAGTATGAAATAAATGACGAGGATGTGGGGAACCGAAAGGTCATGCTAACTAAAAGTTTATACCTCTTATTGTTCAACCCACCTGCCTATGGCATATATTGACTATCAAATATAACTGAAAATGCACCATCAGCAGAGGGTAAACTATACTACTGGAACATTTTAAAGTTAAATTCTTAGGTCCATCGAAAGATTTTTCTTAAAGATAAAAAAAAAAAATCTATGGCAGGAGGAAAACAATGTTGTTATGTGCCGTCGAGTCGTTTGTGACTCATAGCGACCCTGTGTACAACAGCCCTAAACCGTGTGCTATACTGTGCCAATCTCATTGCCCCTAACAAACCCATCCCGATTACCTCAGTCACTGAATCAGTCCACCTCATAGAGCGTCTTCCCCTCCTGCGCTGTCTGTCTACTCTACTCAGCATAATGTCCCTCTCTAAAGAACTGTCTCTCCTTACATGTCCAAAGTATGTCAGATGAAGCCCCAGAATCTTTGCCTCCAAGGCGCACCCTGGTTTAACCCTCTCTGGGATGAATCTATTTGTTTTCTTGGCAGTCCATGGTACATTCAATACTCTTCTCCAGCACCACAGCTCAAAGGAG